AGATAAAAGGCAAGAAGAGGTATTTGGCCTGGTTGCATATACGGTTAAATACCACTGCGTAAACAGCTGCCGTTTATTTAGTCAACCGAGGAAAAGTAGAGTATGTGCCGCTATCAGTAGTGATAAGCGACCTTCCAAATGACAATAGCTTGGAATGCTATTCAGACGAAAAATCTGTTTTACTGCGTAGGAACTCAGGAGAGGGCTGCAGTATTACAGTGTTCAACTCATCTTGAGTGAATCCTTCATGTTCAACTGTTCGAGCGATAGGACGTGCAATATGATAGAGGAGGGGCTGTTACATAGAAAACTTTATAAATACCTAATTAATAATATGTAGGCAATTGGCGGCAAGGTAATGGAGCATTACGATATCTTGCATACATAATAGGTAGATCAAATCAGGGCATGGCAGATGTTATAGTTAGTTGCAAGATCAGCTGGCATCAAAATGTATGACAAGATACACTGTGTAACGTGTCATAAGATCTTATATTCTAGTGAACGGAGAATAATGATATGCGTATCAAAAAATGGTACGCCACTATTAGATCAGCTTCAGGTCAGCTCCGCATATTGCATCGCTACGATCCACTGGAATGACCGTCGTCGGGGGCCAAGAAAACGCCTGAAGCCCGGCCAGCATGGTGAATGAGTCTTACACCCCTTTCAGTAGGGACTAAGAACCGCATTTAAGGTCGTTGCGATTGATAATCGCCGGACGTACCAGACGGTCGACGGCATTTAATGAAAAACTGCTCTTCCACACCGCCGACGCGACGAAAAGGTAATCATCACGCTAAATGGCTTCAAAGAGAATCCATATTCATCGGAAAGTACGCAATCTCAATCACAAAACAATTCGCGGCAGAGAACAAGACTCTGTCGAGGATTTATGGGTGACACTCATATCCTTTGGGAGGAGAGCCTTGGGGCGTTACTGAAAGCCGTCGCAGAATCAAAAGTTAGGGTGAAGCGAGTGGATCAAAAGTGGCAAACATGTTTCTGCAATATAACGGCTGCTGACCCATCAAGCTCCCCAGTCAATAGACCTAACTGCGCCGAGGACCGTGGATACACTTGTTGTGCCTGCCCTCCTCCGCTCTAATACCAGGTCTAGGCTGGTCGGCCTAACATCACTTATATTTTGACTGCCTGGAACTAGCGGCATTTTAACGAAGTCTCGGCGAAGAGGCAGGAGACACCCGGTATACCGGCGTCTGGGTTGTCCTGCCAGAAAACGCCGTAAACTGATGGACGAATAGTGGAATGGCTAAGAAAATTTCAACAGCTGGACGAAAACGAACCTTGCGGCGATCATGTGAAAGATTGCTCCCATATGCGGATGGTTGACCCTGCGTTTGAAAGTACTTGGACGCGGATCTGAAAACTAACGGAGTGATCGAGCCATAGACTTAAATATGATCATTACTGTTCACGTGATTAGCTACGAGCCTAAATTTATATTGACTTGAAAAGGCAGCTATAAATATGTATGTTTAACCACGTTTGAAAAACTAAAATGCTCAGTAGAAAACGAAGCTAATGGTATGATGATAATACAATACTCTTAGACTAGCACGTGGACGATCTTTCATTTAGTCATTTCGATGTTAAAGGTCGCCTACGTACAAATAAATCGCAAACCTAGTTAAAATGGTATATTTTGAGCGCAGGTTGGCAACATCCTCCTGAGGCCAGATTCGAGCGTTGAAGTTTGGTTGATAGCTGTGCACAGCAAAGTCCAGTGTGTTCGGTACAAATATCTTCAGTAAGAGGCGTCCTTTTTCACTGCCGTACCACTCGGCCTTGGCAGCGACTAGGCGTATGCTAAGGTAAGGTCATGCCGAAAAAGTACAAAAGCAAAAGGTTTATCCAAGTCTGGTGGCTTGGGATTTGTAGTTGAACTTTCACCGGTGGAAGTATTTTCATCGGCAAATGCAGACGACAAGGGCTGCCAAGAATCAGCTGTTTTGATGAGCAGTTGAAAGTGCAACATGTAATACGCCTACTTTCATGAAATGAATGCCTAGGGTTGCTTTTATTTTTTAATTCCACAGTGCCTTATAAGGATTTTGAAATTAGATAATCTTAAGCTAAGCCCAGTCTTGAGTAATGGCCGTAGGAATAGATTCATAGGTCTAAAACCAAGCGGATATATTTGTTGGAGCATAAAGAACTTGTTTTTACGAAATTTCAGTACAGTTTACTCTTATTAGTTCCCTGTAAAGTTTAATGTTCATGAGACTTAAAATTTCATTGTGAAAGTAATCAGATTACCATTTTATTGTTTAGGAAATGTGGGGAGGTCTCATTTACCTTGCAATGAACTGGGTATTTGTTTTTATAATTATGACTAACATTAATTATGAGGCAGGCAATAAATAGAATCCGTAGATGGAAAGACTAATGTGTATAAATCTAATTTTATTGTCATTGAGTCACAAGGCAACAGTATAAGAGCAATAGAACAATAGTTCCAGTTTTGGAATGTAATACTCACTGCAGCTCAATCAACCTTCATAATTCTTTGATATACTGTCTGCTTATATGTTTGTGTTTACAAGATATTTTGCTTATTAATGAGTCATTTATTAGTGAATAACTTCCTGGGTGATTAGTGTAGGTGTAGGTGATAACAAATGAAAACTACCCTTAAGCCAATGCCAACGGGGATAACAAATACACACATGCCATGCCCACTGTGAGTTCTGTTTATTAATTCTTTAAAGGTAGATGGCTCCACAAGTACCAAGTTACCAGTGAGCCAATTATTAGTATTACTTATCTCATCTGTTTACCCCTTTCCTTAATCTTGTATTTCTGTTAGTAATGTCAGTAGCAATGTGGTGATTATTTTTTACTGTGCAGTTGCATTTCCCAGAGACAAGCTCCATAATACATCACAAAATTTATGCAGCAGTCTAAGTTGCCATGACTGGGCGTGTCCTTTGGGCATTGTCCGAAGGGAGGGTTGATGGGGGGGAGGGGGCTCTGCCCTCAGTATCCCCCTAGCAAACATTGGTTTCACCATGGTATGCACAAGATAGACTTGAAATTTAGGAGGACTTAGGCCACGAACGGTGCTTTCCATAATTTTTCCTCTATTTATGGCAATACCGTTCATGTTTGCAGATTATTTCTTGTATTGGTAGTTGTTACCAAGAGCGAATTACCCTCCAGAGAAGAAGTCCCAAAGCCAGGGTATTATGCAAACCTAAACACCCAACCTAATATTTCCTACCTTATTTTATTATATATATATAATTTCAATTTCTTTGAATATGATTTTATGGAAATTACAGAATCAGATACCATGAAAAAAATGATTTCTATGATAAAATAATAAGTGTAGTTCTTCGCTAACGCCTGCATTCGAAGGATTGTGACCAGTATGTTACGCAAACAACGCTGTTGCCATGGTGACGGTACACCGCTTGACTTAGCAAGCGCAAGTCTACCCATCTACAGGGATCGCATGAGAAAGCAAGTGATATTCTTGAATTAGCAAAAGAGTCTTGAGATTTTAGGCAAGGACTATCCCTGCTTTAAACGCTTTTAGTTTGAGCAGTTATATGCAGTGGACATTTTTGTCATATGTTGGTAAATATGAGGCCGCTGCAGTTTAAACTATATTGTTTCTTATTCTATTTCTTACACAGTTAGATGGCATTGTCCATTTCCCTCTACTTCCTTGTGTCGCTTTCGGTAACCTATACCCATCAATTCCATATACTGTTTACCAGCTAGGTAATATCATTTTTAAAGAGGAAATATGTAAGATAGACCTGTAGTCAGTATTTTCATATGAAAATTTATTATTTTACTCCCAAGTTATTGTTTTTGATATTTGGGTCTTTATTTCATAACCTCTAGGATTTTCAAACTTGAAGTTTATTTTCTTTTCCTGTCACTATTGTGGTCAAGGGTATTATTACTTATGGGACCCACTTGGTTGTCCTCCGAAGATCTGCATGAGCAGGTGAGCATTCTGACAGGACAAACATTCTTGCAGTTTGACACATGTCAGTTGCACAGATTTAAAACCAGTGATGACACACTGTTCATTCCATTTCTTAAGTCACAGATCTTTTACAAGATAATAGAAATGGATATCTATTCTTTATTCATGATCTGAGTACCGTTTATAAAGTGGCTTTATTGAGTTCCACAAGATTTCTAAATTTGAATATCATACTTTTGTACTCTAAGGAATAATGGTGATATTACTAATATTGTTATGAGCACAAAAGATATTCTATAGATTTTATAAAAGAATTACATCTCTCCTTTCAGACCTTTCAAGACAAACAAGTGTAAGATTTATACAAATGCATTTAAGTAACTGGTGGAAAAAATATCAGATAGTTGAAGTGCACATAATGCATAAATTGTTGATAAGGTTATCAGTATAAAAGAGAATATGAATGTATCAGCAGACTCATTATCTTTAGGAGAACAGGTTTCATATTGTTATCCCTCTCCTTCTCCTCCCCTCCCCTTATGAATAAACTAGCACAGGTTGGAGTAGGAAGTTTTTTTGTTCTCTAAAAAAAAAGCTAGATAAACCATTTTTGATATAATAAAATGAAATAAGGGCAGCTTCTCAGAATATTTCATAAATTGTTTTGGATGCTGACAAAGTGAATAACAACAAATATCATCATTGTTATTTATGTGCCTCCATTTATAGCAGGAAAAAGTAAAGATATGTTCAGTGTTATGTTTCAAGGCATTCTGTTATAGATATTAAGGATGGAAATGGAATGGCTCACAAAAGCTGAAAAGGGTGAAAAATATTCTCCATATTCTATTGATATTGATATTATCTGAAAGTTGGAATTTGATGACCATTGTCTTGTTTTTTGTAGGTTTAACATGTTTGTACCACTCAAAGAATTGTGAATGCAAGTGAGGAATATCTAGAACTATGGTGTAGATGTTTATAAATGTGTTACAGTCGATTCTCTACATATGTTATGACCAAAATTTCTGAAATAGGCCTTGAGATATCAACTAATTAAACTCCCTATTTTCCAGCATGTTTCGGGGGCATTGTCACGGAGCTTCTCCACAAGTAGGGTGGCTGCGGCAACCCAGATGACTGTTCGTGATGCCCTCAACTCCGCTCTTGATGAGGAGATGGAGCATGATGAGAATGTAGGTTCACATTGTATTTACTTTTCTTATGCATAAAGGTGTCCTGCTTTTCTATTAGATTATATATTATTGTTTGGGAATTACAATGCTTATGAGAAAAAATACCAGGACTATATTAAGGAGCAAAACTTGTCTTTTTTAAAACATCAGAAACTGGTAGAAAATTACCTTTTGGTCGTTCTGTGTAGACTAAATGCTATGTTTATTACATATAACTTACCAACATGTCTGCTCTATGTTCCTTATTATTTATAGAATGGAATCCTGAACAAGCGTTGTTTTTAAATTTTATATTAACTCATTAATTGCAATTGTTGTAGCTTATATATTTTTTCAGGTGTTTTTGATGGGTGAGGAAGTGGCTCAGTATGATGGTGCATATAAGGTGTCCCGAGGATTGTGGAAGAAGTATGGAGACAAGCGTGTTATCGACACTCCTATTACGGAGAGTGGCTTTGCCGGTATTGCTGTTGGAGCTGCAATGGTTAGTAGTTTATTAGAGTTCTTGTGAAATTATTATTACTATTTTTTTTTAAATTGAGTAGGTAATTATGTTTCATTAAAGATATTCATTTAATCCTGAGTTGCTTTTATTCTGATGGAGTAAAGTTTTGAAGATATAATTTTGATATTTGTTTTGTTGTGGATTTTAAGTACCGTTTTATCCTCTAGGGTGGCCTTCGTCCAGTGTGTGAGTTCATGACCTTCAACTTCTCCATGCAAGCAATTGACCACGTGATCAACTCAGCCTCAAAAACCTTCTACATGTCTGCTGGTTTGGTGAGATTTATTTATTTATACATTTTTATTGCTTTATTAATTCAGTCATTGAATTATTATATATGATGATTGTTCAATATTGAAATTGTGTTGTCATTTGGAAATGTAACAGTTTTGATGAACTTAGAGTTATTGATTAATAGATTCATATTTAAGCTGAAGGAAGTGGGAAGGCTAGTTGAAGAGTTTGTTGAGATTAAAAAGAAGAGGGAAAAAAACAATATAAGCAATAGTTATAAAGAGCCAAAAATTGAGAAAATGCACAAGTACATTGATGATATTCAAAAAGAATGAAAAAATAGGCAAGTGTAAAGAAAAAACTAAATATAGAATAAATTATAAACCCTTTCATTAAAAATAGATTCACACGAGTAACAAAAGCAAAGGAATTTTATGTGCTGATATTCTTTCTAGATAGCTTTGAAAATAGATGTTATAGAAACCAGAGAAATGGACACATCACCAGTGTGCTTAGCAATATTCAATGATATCTTAAACATGAAATTAATTTCCCAGATATTGAATGCGAGTTGACCTTTCTGTACAGATTCATGTTCCAATCGTGTTCCGTGGTCCCAATGGAGCTGCTGCTGGCGTAGGAGCTCAGCATTCGCAGTGTTTTGGTGCCTGGTACTCCCATTGCCCAGGCCTTAAGGTGAGATAACTCTTGTGACCATTCTTAGGAGGGAAATGAGTGCATGTGATCTGAGAATTGATGTATATAACAAGGGCACTTTGTAAAATCTAGTTAAGGAGTTTTATACAGTGTACAGCCATTCTGCAGTAAAGGTCTGAATTTGGTTCTGGTTGTATCACAAAATAGACTAGTTTATGGCATGTAGAGGTCATGCTTGTTCTGCTTTATTATTTTCACTCAACAAATAGCATAAGAGAAAAACCAATGAGTTCCATATAGGAATATATTCATATGAAAGATAATTTATGGAGATTGATTCTTGCCTTCATATGTTGGAGTATTGCCAATGAGCATGTCTGGAAACTGTTTAAAAGCTTCAGATTCCTTAACAGAGAGAACTTCTAAAATCAGAATGATACTAACAGTTATTAAAAATGCATAGTCAGCAAGTAGACTCTGTTTTTCTGTAAAGAAGCTAACTCTTTAAAGAAGAATACTGGCTTCTAATTGAACTGGTAATACCTATGTAAGTCAAGAGAGATTGTACTGTGTATGTATGTTTTCAATGATATTAAAATCTTATAATTGTCTTTTCAGGTTGTGTCACCCTACTCCTCAGAGGATGCGAGAGGTCTCCTGAAGGCTGCTATCCGTGACCCTGACCCAGTTGTTGTACTTGAGAATGAGATTCTCTACGGCCAGCCATTTGACATCTCGGAGGAGGCTCTTTCCAAAGACTTCGTATTGCCTATTGGAAAGGCAAAGATTGAACGTTCAGGTTAGTGTGATTCTTTATCATGTGTTGAATACTTTTACTGTATATTTAAGAAAGATTAGATTGGGAAATGTTTTCTTTTCATTAGAGCAGATGAAACAGATCCAGTTATATCTTTCAGTATTACTCGAAAAGGATTGAGTTGGGGTTTCCTCACCCTTTGGATATTCTAAAAACTGAGTGTTAGCACATAGCAGCCATCAAGTAAGCAGAATTTTAAATGGAGGAATATTTTGGCTAAAAATAACTGCCTGCTCTATTTTGCAACTTGCTTATCCTCAGTCATTTTGCCAAATATTGTGAAGCTGCTCATATGCTTTTTGCAGAGCAAACATCTTTAGTTAGTGCCCTATATTTAGGCTAATTTTTTAAAGCAAAGTATTTTTTGATATATGCTTCCTTGAAAACAAGCTCAATCTTGAATGTCATTGCATGGCCATGCTAATGATTGTGGCATTCTTGATCAACTTCTCCAGGACAACACATCACCCTTGTTGCTCACTCACGTGCTGTGATGCTGGCTTTGGAGGCTGCCAATGCTCTTGCTGGAGAGGGAGTGGAATGTGAAGTGATCAACCTCCGCTCACTGCGTCCACTGGATGAGGCCACGATCATTGACTCTGTGATGAAGACCCGCAACCTTGTGACAGTGGAGCAGGGTTGGCCTCAGAGTGGCATTGGCTCAGAAATTTGTGCCAGGATAGTTGAAAGTGAGTAGGAACTTATTTTCCTTTTGTTGAATATGCATGTAATGTATTTATCTGAGGGGAGTTGTAATCAATAAGTAGTTTAGAATGTGTGTTTTTTCAAGAATTTATATTCTCTAGTTCGATCAAGATAATTCATCCTCTTTTTATAAACCTGTAGGCTTGGGGGGATTTGCATGTGGACCAAAATCCTTGCAAGAAGCATACTTGAGTGGTGACTCTCCTGGGTGTTTGGCTTGTAGGTCTGGTATTAAGATTTTTGCTTCCTCTTTACAATTTTAACATATCTTTTTCACCATATTTTTTGGCTGATTTACCATTTACCAAGTTCTACATTTGCCGTTTATTATGCTGTATCAAGAGGGTGATAGACTGTTTATTTTATCATACTCCATATTATCTCTGTTAGAATACATCTCTGTGCACTAAGAATAGTAATAAATAACAGTATTATTTGTCATTTTTAAAATATTTTGTATTAGTTTCTGTAACACCCTGCACCCTGATCCTGTTCCTGCTGGAAAGGAATAGGATCCTGAGCATGGAAATAGTGTCCTCCCAGGAGCCAGCGCTCTTTCAGCCGTAGTTTATTGGAGAAAATAGTGCAAGAGCCCCTTTTTAACTATCCACTGAATCTAGTCAAGATCTTTGTGCATTCATAATGAGTCATTCTCATCACCTTGGTCCTCAGCCAATTTTTTTTATGACCGCTTGTTCCCATCACCTGGTCCTAATTTTTCTATTTGACATCAAAAATGAATCATCATGTATATGTGAACAATGTAGATTAAAATGAAGTAGAACATAATAAATGCAAGAAAATTCTTAGAGAATAGTATTTATGCATTTGTTGAATCAGATCCATTTTTTTTTTTAGATAATAGACAGCAGTCCATAAGCCAGACAAAAAGTTTCAAGACATGACTTGAATGCTTCCCTTTCCACAGGTCCTGCCTTCCACTATTTGGAGTCTCCTGTAGTGCGTGTAACTGGGGTGGATGTTCCCATGCCTTATGCCAAGAGCTTGGAGCTTGCCTGTATCCCACAGCAACATGATGTTGTCAAGGCTGTAAAGAAGGTTCTGAAAATTATCAAGTAAAACTGCACAAGTAATGGTCAACATATAGATACCAACATGTATTTATTTGGGGTTAGAGATCTTGTCCCGTGTGATGCAGTAGTGTCCAGTCTTTTGATCTCTGACTGTGCATACTCATTCTCCGGGAATACAAGTCATATATTTTTGTTTATTTATTTATGTTATGTTTATTTGGTTGTTGAAATCAGTTGTAAATTTAGAAATTATGAAGTTAGATTGTTTTATATGAATAATTTTGTGATGTGCCTGTAGAACATTATTTTGATGGTAAAGGACTTAAAATCATATTGTATTTCCTTGATTATATTTCTCCTTGTTGGTGTACAAGATCTAAACAGAATTCCATTTCTATGAAGAACAAGAAGTTATTTAGCATTTTAGATGTATATAGCATTTGTTAACATATGTAAATGTAAACATTAAACCGGCTCATTTTTATAAAATCTTTTGACATCCTTTATAAATTGTTTTCCTCATTTATTTTGTTGCATTATACAACTAGGATGCATGTGGATACTTGAGAAGAAGCAGTTACTAAGAAATGCAACTAAAGATTTTATAGAAAACAAAGTATGAAATGTATTGTTCACTATTTTCTAAATATTCATATATTTTACATAGTTGATTAAATGGTAAAACAAATGATTGTCAATTGTTAATATAAAGACAATGGAGTTAAAAGATCTGTGTTATTGATAAAAGAAATATGTATAGAAAATATATGTGTGTTCAGTGTCAGTTTTTGTTACAAATGTTCAAATATTAAATGGCTTGTATTTTTTTTATATTTTCAAAGTTATTTGACAGTTCCACACCAGAAGTTAACAGAAATGTATACACTTTTCTTGGGAGTATGAAAGAGCCTTTTGAGAAAGGAAGAATATCAACTTGCTTCTGTTATGCAATATTGTGTATATATCCTAAATATGTTGCATAATAGAGCAAGTTTGTACAAACAGTATATCTTATTACAATAAAGAACTGAGGGTAGTTGTAATATAGACA